TGGGTTTTTTTTTTTTAAGATTCCATGTATAAATGAGATCATCCAATATTTGTCTTTCTGTGTCTGACTTATTTTACTTATACTACCACTTAGTAGCTCTCTTTCCCCCTCAAATTTCCTATGTTAAATATTTGAAAGAATTTAAAAACAACTGTGTTCAGATAAAAATCTACAAATCAAATAATCCTAAATTTGGCACAGGTCAGAGAGTTTTATTTGGCCTTCTTGACATTTCTTACTCTTTGACTTCTAATATCCTGTGATTACCTGGAGGCACATAGCTGTTTAAAACCCTTTGAATTGGTATACTCAGATCCACTTTGCCAATTTCCATGAACTCACTGAAGCCGTTGCTATTAGTAACCATCTTAGTGCTCTTCCATTAAGGGATGAAAAGCAAAAGAAAAATGAACACTTTTGTCACTAAAAAGAGCAAGCTGCACTTGCACTGCTACACATAGACCACCTTCTTCTGGGAGCATAAAAAACGCAGGTTTGGGGCCCTCCTGCTGGCGCAGCGGGTTAAAACACAGCACTGAGAAGCTAAAGCCACTTCAGCATGAGTTCGATCCTCGCCTGCCCTGGAGGTGACCACATGGCGTGGCAGACCTCTCCTGACCCGCCCGCTGCTCCCCTCAGCAGTGTACTTCGTCGATCTGCCTGTTCTGCTCCCCACTCTGTCTCTGGTGAATCCTCTCACTGCCCCTGCACCTCTGGCCTGTACCCCAATTCTGTATGCATAAATAAATAAATCTTTTTTAAAAAAAAGGCAGGCTTAGGGGCACTGAGCTAGATCTTCTGAATCAGGTTCTGAACTCAGTTATACTGAAAAACAGGTACCCAAACTATATTTCTGCATTTACTTAATAAAGGATTTTGCTCCCCATTCTTAATTTTTTAAGCTTACAGCTTTATTCTTTTAAAATTAGTTTCTCTTTTAAAGTTAACTCTTCTGTGTAGTCAGAAGAACTCAAAATATCATTGGTTAAAGATCACATGAATGTTATGGTAGCATCCTTAACTTGTCAAGCTATGGTGGTAATACCAGTGTGTCATTTTTCACAGGTGACAGAAGAAAATAAGAATAGGTTTCATGGTGCCCCCACATATGGAGGGTGGATATTGGACAATTGCCCTGTTATAAAAGAACTGTGGACAACCTTAAATGAAAAAGGAATTATACCTGATTTAGTTATTGTTTTATCAAATGCGGAAAACAATGGTTAGTAAATGTTTATGATGTAAATTTAAAAGTGACGTTATGATTGCTGATAATATCTTTAGTTAAAATATACAATGGAAAACTCTCCATCCATCCATTGGTACAAATAGCATCCCAGCAACCCTTTCATGACCTAGACATACAAAATACAGCTTCCAGCATCACATAGGTAATCAAAGCTTATGCTCTAGAGCTCTGGACATTCCAGCAGGCCTTTATAATCAATCGTTCTTGGGAGCTAGTCAGATCTATAATTTCTAAATGCACAAATAAGCCCGAGGGCAATGACTATATATATATATATATATATGTCCTCCTTCACCTCAAATGAGAAATAGTAGGTACATAAAGACAACAAAATTAAATTTTAATTATGCTATCACTTTGTATAGGTCAATAGGAAGTATGATAGTATTATGTGATGCTGGCATAAAAAAAGACATTTGGACCAATGGACCAAAATAGAGAACCCAGAAATAAGTCTGTACCTTAACCAAGATTCAGTGTCAACATCAAGAATATTCTGTCATTTTACCTCGTAAAGAAAATATATTTGATAATAGGATCCAGAAAATGAACTCATATACTTCCCATGTTTTAGTTATTTATATACCATGCCATGTTTCAGTTACTTATGTAATATATACTTTTTAAGAGGATTTAAGATAGTGTAAGTGTTGTAAAGAATGGGAGTTACATTTCAATAAGTACTTAAAGAAAAACAAATTGGAAATAGAAAAAAAAATTGTCATTGTTACTTTCCAAGTTTATATCTCACTATGTTTTACAGATTTAAAAGTTAGTATTATTCTCTTTTTCTGCATTTTAGGAAAATACTTATTAAATAGAACATATTTACAGAATAAATCCGAAATTGACTCCAGTATTTTAGAAAGATTAGTTGATGAACTACAAAAGCAAAGAACAGAGGAAGAAGCAGCAAGGTATAATCTCCTGACATAATAAAACATGCTAATGTTTCTTTTATTGTTGTTAAATACCTACTTACAATTTATATCTATGAAATGTCTTCAATGTCAAAGTAGTGGACCATTAACTTGGTGCAGTGCTATTTCTAAGAAAAGCTATAATTTCAACAACATAAAAAACAATTTCTGATGTACAGGGTTGTAAAAATTTTCAAGGCTGCAAATCTAATTAACTTCCAAAGACTTTTTAAAAAATCAGCAAGCACAGGTAAGACTTTTTTATAACATATTTATTTGATAATTAATTGTGTTAACTAGCATTTGCATCTTAAATACTATGATAAAAAGAAAATTAAAATGCTAAATGTGTGATAGGACTGACTTCTAAAACCAAAGTCCTATATAATGAAAGAACAAGATTGGTTATTTTCTGCAAATTTTGTTCATTTACCAGTCATAACATAACTATATAATTTTGAGAGTCCATCCTCACCCCTTTGTATATACACATGCGTCACTCACCCTCCACCTACTTGACATCAAGAGCTCATTATCTAATTTGAGCACAATGAGGAACTTCTAAAAATGTGAATATATTTGTACCTAGTCATTAGTTAAATATCAAATTCTTCAGATGGGGGGAAAAGTATAAAAAGAAAAAACATATTATTTTCTCATTGTCCTTTGTTGCTGAAACGCATCTTTAGATACTTTACATTTTAATTTGTTCACTGGACTCCCTACCTCTCAAAGTAAGAAAGGCTAAGATATTTAAAAAGCAAATTTCTTTATGCTAATCCACTAAACCTCCTACTATTAATGATGGTATCCATTGAAGTTTTCTCAAATGCTATTTCTTTTTCTCTTCAGATATTAGCAATTTGAGGAGGGGTTTTGGAGAGTTGTTTTTTTTTTTTTAAGATTTCTGTATTTATGCATACAGAACTGGAGTACAGGCCAGAGGTGCAGGGGCAGTGAGAGGATTCAGCAGAGAGAGTAGGGAGCAGAATAGGCAGACTGACGATGTACACTGCTGAGGGGAGCAGCAGGCGGGTCACGAGAGGTCTGCCACGCCAGGTGGATCACCTCCAGGACAGGTGGGGATCGAACTCATGCTAAAGTGGCTTTAGCTTATTAGTGCTATGCTTTAACCTGCTGCGCCACCAGGGAGGGCCCTTGGAGAGTTTTTTAAGGTCTAGAAATTACAAAGCTGGCAGGTGGATAGTTAAGCTGCTATAGGAGGCTAACTGATAGGTCTGTGCCAGAGGATTTTATTTCTCAGTGTTCATTATTCATCTAAGTTAGCTATTCATTCCTTTGGGATTGTAACATAAAAATATAAAGTATAACATAATTAATATTTAATATAATTAATGATATTATTTGATATATTGACTAAAAAGTATTAACTTAGAGAATAAATTTATTACATTTATTTTTAGCTTTGAAAAGTTTTTTTTTTAAGATTTATTATTTATTCATACAGAACTGGGGTACAAGCCAGAGGTGCTAGTGAGAGGCTTCACCAGAGACAGAGTGGGGAGCAGAACAGGCAGATGGAGGAAGTACTCTGCTGAGGGGAGCAGCGGGCAGGTCAGGATAGATCTGCCTGCCATGTGGATCTCCTCCAGGGCAGAGGATGGAACTTGCACTGAAGCGGCTGAGGCCAACTTGCAATGCTTTGTCCTAACCCATTGTGCCACCAGGGAGGGCTCTTTGAAAAGTTTTGTTATGTGTCGAAGAAAGCAATATTGGCCTCTTTCTAGAGAATGCACTGTGAAGACCACAAAGACTGGTACCAATATAAAGGTACAAGACTGACTACCTGCAAGTGGTAGATTTTACATCATCATTTCAGATCTATGAGATGATGGCGTTGCTGTCTTGTCTCCTAGAGTAGCTACTTGTCACTCCCAGAGCATACTGTAGAGTCTGTATGTGTGTATCTATATGTATATCCATATTAGTGGATTATGTATGTTCTATATGTATCTATATAATATATATATTCTGTACATTCACAATACAAATAAAACTACAATCTGCTAGGATTTAGGCAGTTACCTAATTTTTCCCCAGAAATACTCAAATAATTAGAAAATATCGATATCAATATAAAAGTAAAATAAAAGTCGATGTGATTTCTAAGCTGATGGTCTGCTACATTTTCAGTAGGAAAAATACATACTAGTATATCTCTAATTTGCTTAGGAAAGGAAAAAGATCTTTACTTTCTCTACTTTCCCAATTTTCATCACTCATCTTACCTTTTTTTAATATAGAATCTTCTGAACTATCCCTATAATTTATTATAATCAATTTTTACTTCTTTTAATCCTGGATTTTTTAAAAAAAATTGTAAACTTTGGAGCCCTCCTTGGTGGCACAGTGGGTGACAGCACAGCACTGAGAAGCTAAAGCCACTTCAACATGAGTTCGAACCCCACCCCGGAGGTGACCCACATGGTGCAGCAGACCTCTCATGACCCACCCACTGTGTACTTTGTCATTCGACTTGTTCTGCTCCCCATTCTGTCTCTGGTGAAGCCTCTCACCACTCCTGCACCTCTGGCCTGTATCCCAGTTCTGTATGAATAAATAAATAAATCTTTTTTAAAAAAAATTTTGTAAACTTTTTTTTTTAAAAGATTTATTTATGTATTCATACAGAACTGGGGTACAGGCCAGAGATGCCACGCCATGTGGTCACCTCCGGGGCAGGCGGGAATCGAACTCATGCGGAAGTAACTTTTGATTCTTAGTACAGTGCTTTAACCCACTGCACCACCAGGAAGGGCCAGTTTTTGTAAACTTTTTAATGCCAAAGACTTGACCATATTGAAGAGGCTTTTCTAGATTTCTATATGTTGTTTTTTAAAATATTTAAAACTCATTTAAAAATGTGAGTATTTCAAAACAAACTTTTTTCATAGGCTGAATAAAGTAAATCTAAAACAGAAAGAAACAAAACAGATACTCATTTAAAGGCCTTTTCCAACTTGGTTAGAATAGGGGTCAACTTAACAGGATTAAGAATTACAACTTGGTCTAAAAATCTAAAGACATTACAGTCTGCAGCTTTCCAAAATGCCAGTCCAATGCAGGGTAATTTCTGTCATTGCCATTTCTCTTTCCCCGTTTGTCTTTGACTCATCTATCCAAGTGGTTTATCGAAGTTATCTAGTAATCATCATCTAACAAAATTCTTCCTAGTAAGTCTGAGATTCCCAGTAAAAGCATGTTTTATTGAGGTTTGAGTATGAAAAGCCTCACAAAGGAACTCTCTGCCTGAGCTAAATAAAATTTGCACACTATCAAGATCTCAGAAATTTGGGTCTTAAACAAAGAGAACTGTTCTCTTTGTCTAGATTGCAAGGTTTGGAATACAGTGAGAGAGCACCCCCTATTAGAAAGAAACACCAATGGTAGAAGAGATGTAGTATTGTATTTTGAAGAAAAAATTTGTAACTACATTTTCAAAGGAAGAGGAAAAGGACACAGAAAACAGGTCAACAGGAGAGGTGAGGAGTGTGCTACTGAGAGTAATGGACTCAATCCTCATTTGGCGAATACTTGATACCATTTTTTAATACTTTTAAAAGATGCTATCAACAGGGGCCCTCCCTGGTGGTACAACAGGTTAAGCCTGCACTATGAAGCTAGCCACAACTGCTTCAGCATGAATTCCACTGTAGGCCAGGGAGGTGACCCACATGGCATAGCAGACCTCTCCTGTCTTGCCCATTGCTCCGCTCAGCAGGGTATTCCAGTGGATCTGCCTGTTCTGCTCCCCACTCTGTCTCTGGTGAATCCTCTCACCAGCCCTGCAACTCTGGCCTGTTCCCCAGTTCTGCATGTGTAGATAAAATAAATCTTTTTTTTTAAATGCTATCAACATTCTTATATTTCTATATACAATAGCATACCAATTCCTGGGGGATCAGTTTCTAGACATAGAATTTCTGGGTCAAAGGCATATGCATTTTAATTTTTAAAGAGTGCTTTTCTCCATCACTTTACTAACTTAAACCTCTTTTCACCATTAAGGCAATTTGTGTTTCAACTCAAATGAAAAACAGATTCCAACTAGATATTTTAAGTCTCCATATTCTACATCCCTTTAAATTTCATTATTAAAGTACTAAAAAGACAAATCAGAAAATAAATTTTCCCATTACAAAGACAAATTCATAAATATTCTATTATTCAATATAGAAAAAATTTTAAGAGCAAAAATTGTATACAAATTTAAAGTGCTCGGGCCCTCCCTGGTGGCGTCACAGGTTAAAAGCACAGCATTAAGAAGCTAAAGCCACTTCAGCATGAGTTTGATTCCCAGCCTCTCTCCCCACCCCCCCACCACCACCCCGCTGCTCCCCTCAGCAGTGTACTTCATCCATCTGCCTGTTCTGCTCCCCACTCTGTCTCCGGTGAACCCTCTCACCACCCTTGAACCTCTAGCCTGTAACCCAGCTCTGTATGCATAAATAAATCTTTAAAAATAAATTTTAAGTGCTCATAATGCTATCATTCAGACAATTACTATTAGCATTTTGATTAGCTTGCTTCTAGTCTTCTAGTCATCATTTATATAAATTTTTAATACAGAATTAAAATTTATTATATATAGTTTTATATTATATTTTTTTCATTTAACATTAGGCTGTTAAACGAAAACCATTTCTCACTTAATCAGAAGGGGAAATGGTACAATGTCTTCCATTAATCTTTCAAGTTGGTATATAACAATTCTTTATTAATTTTGACAGGTTTCCTAATTAATAGGCAAAGTTTTACAAAGTATAAAATTCTAACTGATAAAAAAAAAAGGACCCCTGGAAATTAACTGGTCTCAACATGTGTGAATTAGACATTTACATTGTAAAGTAGTGTGATGAATATTATGAACAGCTTAGTCTATTTTTTATCATAATAAACCTTAAATCCTACAGTGTTGTGAGATGTCTAAATTTCCAAAGATAATTAAATGTTGGACCTTTTTATTTCAGAAAAGCCACAGAAGAGGCACGGAGACTAGAAGAACAAAATCAGAGACTAATGGACGCTATGAACGAGAAGGCCAAAGGTAAACACAGATTGATATGACTAATGTGTTATAGAGGCAGCAGCAGTATTTCAAGTGAATTACTGGCAGTGTCACTTTCTTCCCAATGTGCCCATGAAAACCCAGGTGTCTGCCTATGGCACTAAAGTATCTGACCCCTTTTGTTCTCGAAGCGTTACACTCAGTGTGATAAATTCTACCGTCACCATAGTAATGCATTCATAGGAAAAAGACTCCTGATACCATACCTCCTTGCACCTCTTTAAGAGGGGTACATGGCAGAACAGCTTGTTCAGTGAGTTTAAAATGGTTGTTGCCTCACAGCTATTGGTTTTGTATTAGAAGAATCCTGAGGACTGAGAGAATAGTCCAGCTCTCACTATGAGCATCCATTGTCTTTACATCTCCATTATAGATGAACTGATTCTAAAAGTTTCTTTTGAAACTGGAGTTCCTTTTTTCCCCCCATTCTTTTTTTTTCTTCCCCCCTGTGTTGAAATGACATTGGTTAACAACAATCATACAACTATATGACTGGAGGGCAAAAACTTGAGCTCTTAACCTGTGATCCATGGATAACATTCAGGGGTCTGTGAACTTGAACGAGAAAATAATCAACTTTATTTTACTTAACGCTTACTGTAATTTAGTGTATCCTTCAATTAGGCAACAAATCACAATAATATTTGCAGTACTTTGACTTTGTTATCAGTAAAAATGAAGATAGGTTCATAGCACATTACAGTTTTATATATCTTGTTTATGCTTCTCACTATTCCAAAATTATGGTAGCTATTAAACTCTCCACTAGTTCTTATTACTTAATGCATTAGTAAAGATCCCTACAGCATAAAAAATTTGATATCTTGATAATATCATTTCCATATACTTGGCTTCTTATATAATCTAGGAGCTTGAAAGTGTTACTCTAAGGCTCCATAAGTTCTACCAGAATGTCAGAGGGGCCTTGGCTCAAACATGTAAAGAGCGTCTATTTCAGTTTTCATAGCCATGCAACAAGCCACTCCAACACAGCAAAACATCACCATTTTTATGATGTACATAATTCTGTGGATCAGGTTTTAGACCAGAGCTTATCTCTGTACCCTGAAGACCTTGGTTCTGACATTGAGTAGTTACCATGGAAGTGAATACTCTAGCCCCGGTCAAGACTTCAGATTAACATGTTCAAAGACAATTATGTGATTATTGTTATTTCAACCATAAAGTTTTGGGGTAATTTATTGTAACACAATAACTACTAGCAAATTTGCTCAGACAGAATCACAGATTGAACAAGAATCTTGGAGCATCTTTCCACTTATGATACAAAGATTATCCATTTGGTTCTAGAAAAAGAGTATTTTTTAAAATATTTCTTCATCATTATATCAATTACTTTCATAGTATGCTTTATAAAGTACTTATATAGAGAGACAAATTTTAAACAGATATACACATACTAGACATATGACCAATTGTATTTTTGTTTCTTATTCTTTTGTTTTTTCCTCAGTTAAAGGACATTTTGAGTTTCTGGTGTAGAGTTCATAACTTTATCCCAATCCTAATAGCATTCGTCAAATGCTATATCAGCATAAAACTCTCCATAAAACACAAAACATTCACGTATTCCGGATCATACACTTGGAAGCCACATGCTCTGCAGTCCTGCTTTGACCTCAGAATAGAGGACATTTCCCCTCCAATGGGAGTAAATGCCAAGGGGAATACCCGTGTCATCATGAAACATATTCATTGGCTCTATCTCTGGAACTATTGCCGTGCATTTCTTCAATTGAATTTAACCTTGGACCTTCCCTCACTTTCCACTTGAACTTGTCAACAGAGCTTTTCAGGAACTATTTAGAAAACACCTGGAGACTAGAGCCTTCATAGCTGACATCTGTGCACTCCATGAGCTGGGTCCTGAGAGATTATTATCATTATCATTGTTATTATTATTATTATTGAGGTAAATTAAACCCCTTGCTCCAAGAGGGCCAGTTCCTATTCTTTGTTGTGGCCTCAGCACCAAATAGCTTGTCAGGTAGCCTAATTAAACATTTGTTGACCCAAAGAGAAGAGAATGATCATTTATTTCTTCTCATTTCTTTCTGGAAGAAGAAGAGAATGACACTGAGGTTGAAGAGGATATGGAAGGTGAAGAATCTGAAGTTCAAGAAGTGGCTGAAACCCCTGATATAGCTGAGGAGACCAAGGGACCTTTACCTGAAGAGCCTGAAGTTTCTGAGACCCCTGAGCCAGAGCAAGAATCAGGTCAGACTTTATTGAGGCCCACTTAGGCACATTAGGGGGTTTTATGTGCATGCATGTGTATATGTGAGTGTGTGTGCTGAGAAAACAGAAGCAGGCTAAGCCTGGAGACATCCATGCTAGGGAGCAGCCATTTTGCCCAAGTCACCTGGTTTGAAGTGTGGAAGCCATGTGTTCTCTGCCCCAGTACTGGCACTCAGGACCTGCTGCATAACTCGTGGGGCACATTGCTCAGCAAACAGAGGAGCCACTAAAGGTGCCACTAAAGATCCAAAAGTATAAAAGTTTTTCTTTTCTCCTGTGGTTTGTCTCTTAACTTACTGTGGTGCTTTTTTATTTTATGACTATTTCATGTCATTTTAAGAAAGAAAAATTAAATTTTAAGTGATTGCCACTGCTCATCTTATTTTTTTTAAAGATTTATTTATTTATGCATACAGAGCTGGGGTACAGGCCAGAGGTGCAGGGGCAGTGAGAGGAATCACCAGAGACAGAGTGGGGAGCAGAACAGGCAGATCACCGATGTACACTGCAGAGGGGAGCAGCAGGTGGGTCAGGAGAGGTCTGCCACGCCATGTGGGTCACCTCCGGAGCAGAGATCGAACTCAGGCTGAAGTGGCTTTAGCTTCCAAGTGCTGTGCTTTAACCCACTGTACCACCTGGGAGGGCCTGTGCATCTTATTTTTAAAGGCAAATAGAACATTTAGCTCATGCAGCATCAACAAATGACACAAGTATTACTTGACAGTTCATATGTGCATATGCATTTCATTCTTACAGATTTACTAAGTCATTTTCACTCACAAACAACTTCTTCATGTACTCATATTCTATTAACACTCAACCCTTATCTTCCTATTAAGGAAGGGCTGAAGAGAAGAGGAATTCTCGGTTGTCCTTATCTTTCCCTTTCTACCTCATCATTTTCCACTTAACTGCTTAGTTAACACAGGAAAGTAACAGGAGCAAGAAAGGATATGGTGGGCTTCCTTAGTCATTCGTGACTCTTTAAATGCTATCACCTTCTCTCTGTATCTGAGACAAGCTGTAGGCCAACAGGGAGAGTATGGTCTCTCCAGGCTTTCACACGCTCCCCCACCCAGCCCTCGGCACACTTCCTACCACAAACAGTGGGGCCCTTTGAGCTTTTCGCTCATGACACTGTGTCAGGAGTGCTCTCGGGGATGAAATGCCAAAGGCAGGCAAGCCCGTCCTGGGCGTCTCTCTGCTCGCCTGTGCGCTCCCTTGGCGTTCCTTTAGGTCTTACTGTAGTAAACAGTTAAAGGTAAAATCATAAAAATTTTCAAAATGACAACAAATGAGCGTCCAACTCCAGAGACCAATCCGAGCACGCGATCCTGTGCAGCTACAAAGCTCACAGGCCCACAAAGCCAGTCTGCCTGAGTGTCCGGTTTGGCGGTTTGGGCAAGGAGTCTGAGCAATGAAAGCCACACTCAGGACTGACGCAGCAAACATAGGGGACCCTGTGATGGGAGTGAGGCTCTTAAATGCTTCCAAGCACACTTAGAATTGGATTAGAAACTAATCTTACATGTTAAGTCTTCAAATACCTGCAGCTTGATGCCTGCCTGGAACAACTCCAGATTATGAAGCTCCTATTAGCTGATAAAAGAAGCAGAATTAACGGGAATTTTTACAATGAGAAATCTCAAGCTCAAAATAGATCATTTTTTGCTATAGATACTGGTGTCATCAGACAAAAAATGAAAATCATATCCCTTGTACCACACAGAGGAGCCAGCCAGCAGGATGAAATACCTAATTTCCTTTTAAGAGTTCCACACTTTTATTGACTTGAATTCCCACCCAGAAACTTTGTTATTTTCTTCAGTACCTAACCAATTAACCTGACAGCTCTCCCTGTATTGCAAGACTACAGGTCATAAATACCCAAAGAAATAAAAGAAACTGACATCCATTATAATCAAACATATACCCAGAGTCTCAATATCTCTAAATTAGTGAGATCTGGCCTAGAAAATGATTTAGTTTTCTTATCTTTTACCTCATTATCCCTAACACTCACACGCACACACACACATCCCACACCCCCAGGAACCTGCTTTGGATGTTCTAATGCCAACATCTTACTCCATTCGACTAAGTTCTAGCCTGAAGCTATAGACATAATTGGACTTCTCCTGGGCTGGCTCACTTCTATGAAATGATGGATCTGTATTGCCATATTAAACCACATTCTATTTCAGAAGGACTTACATTTGGTTTAGCTAGTAATTTTTTCCTCCCTCCAACTTAGTGTGTCTTTCCAAAGTCATTTCTAAAATTACATATGTAGTTGTTTTTTTTTTTCCACTTAAAAATGCCCTATTTAGTCCTTAAAAGACAAATGCTGTGTAATTCTACCTAGAATAGTCAAAGCCATGAAGACAAAATGTATTATGATGGCTTCCAGGCAGCTGGGCAGAAGGGGAGGGTGGAAGTTAATGCTTAATGAGTATAGTCTCAGGTTTCTAAGATGGAAGGGACTATGAGGATGAAGGTTGGGGCTATTTACACAGATGTGTGAATGTGTTTAATATCACCATGCTGTAAATGTGAAAATGGTTAAGATAATTTTTGTATATTTTACCATAATAAAAAAATAAAGAAAAATGGCTTTGCCAAACATAAATTCATTACTTTGGGCATTTTTGTTTGTTTTTTTTTGCTTTACCGAGAGTGTCCTGTGGCAGACAAATGATATCTGCCAAAGGTAAAGTCATTGCTATCCTGATGCCATGTTCAAATATGAGGAAGTAACATTTAACTGTACTTAGCCAAAATTGTATGACCATGTATCAAGTCTTTTAATCATTGACCTATTGTTTATTTAAGAGTATTTTACATTTTCTGCCTTAATTATTTTTTATGCCATACATTAGATAATAAGAGCTATACATTAAATTAGACATAACTTGTGCAGTTTAAACTGGCATTGGAAATTTTCTCTGTATTAAACTTTATAATAGAATAATGTTTTAAAATTCAAAACTGAATATTTTACTTATTTTCTAAGGACCTGAACCTGTTGAGAATTCTGCAGTTGAAACAGAAATTCCAAAAGAAACCAATGAGGTGCTGGAAACTGAAGAATTACTTCAAGCAGGTGAGATCATAAAATAAAAGTATTCCTCATATTCTTTTGCAAAAGGTCTCGTCCCTTATTTAAGGGACAACTTTCTACTTGGTTCTTTTTCCAGGTGCTGCTCATTATATTTATTTAGCTTATAGCATTAAAAGTATATCTAGGACCCTCCCTGGTGACACAGCAGGTTAAAGCACAGCACTAAGAAGCTAAAGCCCCTTCAGCATGAGTTCGATCCCCAGCCCCAGAGGTGACCCTCATGGCACAGCAGACCTCTCCTGACCAGGCTGCTGTTCCTCTCACCAGTGCTCTTAGTCAGCGTGTTCTGCTCCCCTCTCTGTCTCTGGTGAATCCTCTCATTATCCCTGCACCTCTGGCTTGTACCCCAATTCTGTATGCATAAATAAACAAATCTTTTTTTAAAAAAAGGGTATCTAGGCATCTTATAATTCTGTTTTTCAGCAAATTGTATCTTACATAGTTTATTAACAGTTAAATTTATCATATGAAATTCACATTAATTAGTCATATAATTTGGATTTCATCAATACATAATAACTCACTAATATATAATAATCTATAGCCAATACATGGAACAAAGTATAATTAAAACATGAATTTGTGAATGCCTACATAAACTGAGAATATTAAGTTCATTTCTTACAAATGTTTGAAAGATATAAAGCTTAAATTATTTTGGCAATCTGACTGAAGATATAGTATCTTAAGCCTCATTTTTCTTTCCTTTAACAGAAGTTGTACTTCCTGAGTTTCCAGAAGATGCTTATCCTGATGTTCCTGAAATGGAACCATTTAAAGACCACATCAAATCTTTCATCTCCTCTTGGAGCCTTATGGAAACAGTAATCACTGACTCTTTTACTCAGATTTTAAACTTGGAGATTGCAGATAAGTCTCCAGAGGAGCTACTTCAAAAAGTAATCGAGACTATGGAAAGTAAGGGCTAGAACCATAACATTTGTTGTAAAAAAAAAAAAAAAATCAGGTAATATTAAAAGAGCACTGTGAAACATTAATGCATAAATGATAGTTTATGAAATATAACATTCAGCGTATCGGGAATGATGTTTTAAAACTGTCAGAGCTGCCACCAGCCAATCAGCACAGCTGTGGGAGACCACAGCACTAGCCACACTCATCAGAGTCACATAGAGGGTTTGTAAACACCTGTTTGCAAATATATTTAAACTAAAAGATCATCATTATAATTAATTTTTCTACTCATTGCTCATTGTAATAAGCTAATATTCTTTTAGCCTAAAAATATTTTCTCAAATGTTTCTTTCTCTCTTAATTTTTTTTTTAACAGAACCTTTTCAATATGTTGCCTGGGAGTTAACCATTGATGATTATGAAGAAGAAACGGAAGACTATCAGGCCGAAGCAGAAGTTGAGGAGGACTTAGAAGAGGAAGAAGAGGAAGAGGAAGAGGTACGGTTCTATGCTACCGCTCATTCACCTTGATTCCCCTCTTTGAAAGTACATGTATCCAGAGTAAAAAACCAGACCTTTTGGACCTCAAGTGAGTAAGCAAGTGTCCTCAACTTCATAAGCATGTCCACACATACTTTGCCCCCACTTCATTTTCACTTGGCCCTTGTGCTGCTAGAGCAATGTAGACAGTGTATTGCACCAATGAGGGCAAAAGAAAGTCTCTTCACCTTCTTTCCCCATGGAAAAATCTGTAGGTAGTAGACACAGATGTACTTCATAAATTAATAGAAGGTTTGCATAAAAGACAACAATGGAATGTTTGAGAGGCTGCTTGTATGATACAATGAATTGTATTCTCAAACTTTTTGCCAAGTGAACTATGTAAAATATTTCCAAAGTATTATTTGAGCACATAGTTTTCCTTAGTAGGAAACAAGGTAAATACCGAGGCATCTTCCAATTCATTTCCAGTAGGTAAGAAGTTGTGACCCTGACTTAACTTTTGTTTCTTGGGAATAATTTAAACCTGACCTCACAGTGACCCGGCACCAACACATCCCTGGGTTCTCCACTATACCCATGTCTGTGAGGACTGGGAGTACCTTCTTTCTCAATGCTGCTTTATTTTTCCTATACAAATAAAGAGGTTTAGGGCCCTCCCTGGTGGCGCAGCAGGTTAAAGCACAGCACTAAGAAGCTAAAGCCACTTCCACATGAGTTCGATCCCCACCTGTCCTGGAGGTGACCCACATGGAGCTGCAGACCTCTCCTGAAGACCCGCCTGCTGCTCCCCTCAGCAGTGTACTTCGGTGATCTGCTTGTTCTGCTCCCCCCTCTGTCTCTGGTGAAGCCTCTCACCACACCTGCACCTCTGGCCTGTACTCCTGTTCTAAATGCATAAGTAAATAATCTTTAAAAAAAAAAAAGAAAGAAAGAAAAGAAAGAGGTTTGGGCCCTCCCTGGTGGCGCAGCAGGTTAAAGCACAGCACTAAGAAGCTAAAGCCACTTCCGCATGAGTTCGATCCCCACCTGCCCCGGAGGTGACCACATGGCGTGGCAGACCTCTCCTGACCTGCCCGCTGCTCCCTTCAGCAGTGTACTTCATTGATCTGCCCGTTCTGTCTATGGTGAAGCCTCTCGCCACCCCTGAGCCTCTCGCCTGTACCCCAGCTCTGTATGCACAAATAAATAAATCGAAAAAGAAAAGAAAGAGGTTTAAGACACATAGAAAGGTCTGAAATACTTGATTGAAACAGAATAAAATTGGTCTTCTATGAATTGTTTTAAAGATATAGTGTTATGCTGACTCAAAAAGATACCTACACACCCAAGTTTATTGCTGCTTTATTCACAATTGGAAAGACATGGAAGCAGCCCA